GGATATTTTGTTGCACGAATTGACGTCAACAACAGAATTGTCTATGCGGTGAGGCCTCAATCTTCAACGTAGATTTTCTTAGAAATGAATACGTTGATTTAGTGTGAAGGCTCTCATCATCCGTCACTCTACGCCACAGAGTTTTGCTTGTCAGAGCCACAATGGATAGATAGGAATCCTTTGACAGGTGAATTTACTGTTTACACTTCGACAAAGAAAACAGATGAGATTCTTTTCAAAAGCTTCCACAATTGTGAAAGGGTTTCGAGTGCATGGCGCACACTGAGAAACTGAAGAGCTTGCCGATCTTTTTGCTTTTGATTTTTTCACATCACATCACCAGAGTTAGCCTTTTTTACGAGGATCTTAGCATCATATGGCCTTTTAGGGGCTGGTAGCGAAACGTGAGACCGGTTTGCCGCTTAGGGAGCGCTCGCTTGCTTGGCACATATTTAGTCCTTGACTGACAACGGAGCCGATGTATCTTGTTTAATCAATCCCCATTTTGTGTTGCTCAGGAAATTTCACGTATTTTACCATTTGATGCATAAAACCTTTCAGATGCCGAAGAAACGACCCTTGAGTGTCGAATTCAACGGACTCATCAACCTATCAGATGCCATGTGAAACGAGTTGGACAAAATCTCCTGTCGATCAAACCGGTCTTCCCTTTGAGAGCTGTAGCTGATGGACAGGTTACATTCCTCATCTAAAAGAGGACCAAATTCAGTTTGGAACCCCTTCAGCCGGTTAAAATATGACCTGTTATAGGTATGTGTATTCTACGATGGCCGAGAATGCCTAGGAGGCGGCGAAGTGCAAAACGTCGTCTCAACACTTGAATATTAACATCTAACTTTTCGTCAAAATGATATCTTCACCCGTTGCACTTAGTTGTTAAGTTGATTTGTTGTTAAAGAGATTCTAAATAAATTCTTTTACCAGTTTCGAAAAACAAAAAGGGCAGATCCCATATGGGACGACACCACTTCCACCAACTCAGTTGCGCTACTCATTGGGAATTCACGATCTGGGTCGCACGGCCTCACACTACCAACAAGTAACGATTGAATAGCTAATGTATCGGGTAAGGAGCAGATAACACTCCACTCACACTTCAAGTACCTATAAATAGCTATGTACCTGTAACGCTATGGCTATATCTACTGATACAGTTAGTAATGCAAGTACAACGATTATTGTTATACGTTGCTATTTACTCATATTTTTCTTAAAAGTATTGTTGTTGCTTGTGAGAACCCTGAGAATACCAGTTTCTGATGATTTTGTTCACGTTGCTATCGAGCATTTCAAATTTTGTGTTCGAAAGACTTTGTGAAGCTTATTCTTCGTTTACAAATCTTAAAGGGAAGATATCTCATAGGAAATATCGTGAATGTTGATAAAAATAGCAACTAAGAACACCAATCAACTGAAAACCTCGATAATTTACGATTGAATGAACTTCCTCCCATAAGCAGAAAGTTAATGGTAAAGAAATACAAGACAAGATAAAGTTGAGAAAATTTGGTAACCAAGACTATTGCCTGGTATTGCATTTTACTTGATATAAATAATTACGAGAATGATTTAAATGTAAAAAGAGAATTGGCCGAAATGTTACCTTGTCCGGGCGCGGAAATCGCGCTCCAATCCAACTACCTAATCGGGCGGGGTGTTTTTGAATTCAAACCAGCACCGAGACGATTTGAATTTCCTTTTGGGGTAAGGCGATCTCGTTCACCTTGACTCCCTCCCTTATCGGCACTGGGTTGTTTACTCACTGTGGCTTTCCTGTTTCATTTATCAAAGGCTTTCTTGGATTTTAGTCCTGTCTTACGTAGCGGTGGTGTACGCCGCATACATACGTTTCGTTGACAACTGTGAGACGTCTATCTGAGAAACTTCAAATTAGTTTTGTCAAATGAAGTTTTGATTCGTACGTTTTCTCTTGTTGATGTTGTTGTGATCATTTTAATTTCTCTTCATTGTTTTTTGATAAGCTCCTCCTCGGAGGCTTTGAAATGGCATGTGTTGGAACGATCAACATGTTCGAGGGCACAACCGCGAAGTAGTTGGGTGAAATGATTCTTGAAAATCACCATGGAAAGTGTAGCTACCAAGCCGTAGACAAGGTCCACGTAAAGAAAGTTTTTCATCTTTGTCAGAATTGTCTTGGCACTCACTTGGGTGGGGTCTAGGCAAGAAAATTTCACTGTTGCAAGTGAGTTTGGGGGCTGTTCGTAGAATTATGTGTAGTGAAGAGAGTTTGTTCTCGTAGTACTTGAAGAGATTTGTACCTCGGTCATGACTCGATAATCATACTGAAAAAAGCAAAAACCAATTTTTTGCAAGATGAAGTTGTGTTTGTGAATTATTGATATTTGTCTACGATTTCCTACATCCGTTCGATGAGTTGCAACGTACTTGTGCTAAAAAGATTTATTCGTTGCATTTACTAGAAATTGTGTGCCTGATAACTTTTTTTAAAAGCCTCATATTTTAGGTTTGAAAATTTCAGAAAATGAGCACTGACAATACTGATGATCACAAATTTGTGTCACCTGTCTCCAGGAATGCTGAGATAGCTGTCGAAAAAGACAAGACCGAAAACGAAAATGCAGAGTCGAAGGTGAAAGTTAGAAAGAGACCGCGAAATTCTTCTATTTTTTCATCAATTGCTACGCAGTAAAACCGTGTTTTTAGGCAGTAGCTGCGGCGAAAAAAGAAACTCCTGTGGCCGTTCGTACACGCCGACACTTCCAGAACGAACTTAACATGAGCTCGCCATCTGACGCACAGCTGTCGCCATGCACGGCGAAACTGTTCGGGAAAGGGGGAAGAAAGGTTAGCTTGACTTTTGAAGTTTCCGTGACTTCCTTCCCAAAGACGTCGTATTTCTCATTGCTCTGAACACTTTTTTCAAGTAAGGGAATGACGCAGTGAAAAGCGGATGTCAAAGCAGTTGTCGAACAGCTAGGTGATAAGAGAATGGGGACTTTACTTACCTACTCCAAAAAAAGTTCTATTAGAGACGATACAGTTGGGGCATAATTAAATGAAGTTCTTGGACATGCCCAACAAGCGCAAGCTGGCTACCAGCTAATGTGAATTGCGAGTAAGACGATCCTCAGTCATCTGACACCGAAATTTAAGACCGAAATTTTTCCATCTCTTGCCCTACTTCCTTCCTTAACATTTTTCTTTCCCCTTGAAAAGATGTTTGTAAAGGTATTTCCAACAGTAAACCATATTTTCTTCAGATGACGAGTGGGCCAACAGCGATTCTCAGAAACAAACAGCACAGTGCAATACCCTTCAACATGAATGACTAGATCAACTCCGTCATCCAAGTGTCAAATGTAAAGAGAGCCTGTTCATAAATGGAATATTAATCGCACACGTTATTGTATCATTGTAAAAGGTCATTATGTTGTCATAGTCCTTTCTGTATTTATCAATCTTCGCTAACTAATTGTGTCTTTATGTCTGAGTGATGGTAAATTTGTAACTATCATTTTGATAACGAGTAAAAATTTTAACTTCACAGAGTTTATGCAAGATAACCTAGAAAGTTGCCTACATACAGAAAATATCGGTTTTATGGCTTTCATAGCT